CACAGTCAGCCTTAGTAGCGAGCGTGTCGAGCGACGAGAGCGAGAACTCCCCTGGTGGCGCCAATGATGAACGTGGCGGTAAAGTGAACACGGAGAGAGACGCTATTGACGTTAGTAAAGCCCAAGACCCTAGACCGGCCAAGGTGGTGGCGAATGGATCGCGCACGCCCTAGGGGGATCGGGTAATGGCAGGTAAACCGTCAAAGAATACCCCCATGGAAACTCCGATCGTCCGAACCAAGGTGGTTCGAACGACAAGTGGCATCACTTTACCACGTGAGAGCACAGTGGCTAGCGTTATGGTGTGCAAAGAGCAAGGCTGTGGAGCCGCCGAATCTGTTTCGCAATATTCCCCGGACCAGGAAACGCGCTGGTGGCTGCCGGTGAAAATAGGAGACTTCCAGATACGGGCTCTCTATGATCCGGGAGCTTCCACCCAGCAATGGATAGTAATGCTTTGCAGATAGCGTCTGCAGATGCTAGGCATCAAGTTGGATACCACCCACGCGGTTACGGCAGGACTACCAGATGGTCATAAGTTAACGATCGTTAGTCACGCCATGTTGCCGTTCACCGTGGGGAATATGACAATGCCGACGAGGGTAGCTATCCTCCCAACCCTCGTCGATGAATATATCCTAGGAGTTAATTTTGTTAGACTGTTTAGAGCGGTACTTGACCCCGACGATAATACGTTGCTTGTCAAGAAATCACAAACCAAGATGAAGCTAGGGGTAGCTAGCTTGGAGGCTTGTCCTAGATGAGCTACGATCGGAATAGCCGAGGTGACAGCCTCTCAACAGGCGATATTGCAGGGGACCATCGGCGAGGCCTTATCGCAGGCCTCTATGGGATTGGGATGTGCGGAAAGAGTTAACAGAACTCTAAAGACGATGATAACCTCGTACCTACGCGGAAATCACAAGGAATGGAACCGAGTGTTACCTGAATTAGCGTTCGCGCTGAACACTGCCGTCCACAGTTACACGGGAACCAGCCCTGCCATGCTTAACAACGGTAGCCAGCCGGAAGCCCTGAAAACCCTTCGGAGACAAATGGACGAGCTTGCGGCCTGAGAGGAAGATTTGCTTCGAATCGGACAATGGGACGCAAATATGAAGAATAACCGATTCGTTATTCAGCAAGCTCGTGAAAGCGCTTCGGACGAGTCCCTGAGGCAGACGAGATATTATAACGCCAAGCACAGGTCCCCCGGATTAAAGGAAAGGGACTAGGTATGGAAGAAAAATCGCATACTGTCCAGTGCGACGCAGGGCGTTTCCGCAAAGTTAGCGCCAAAATTCGTAGGTCCCTTTATTGTCACGAAAGTACTCGGAATCAACTCGTATCACCCGGCCTGGAAGAGGTCACAGAATTGGTCCACGCCAAAGACCTCAAACCCTACTATGGACAGGAGGATACCTCGCCAGAAGATGAAATCCGAGGACGAGATGACGACGATACACCTACCACCAAGGGAACAGAGGCGATGTACATCCCGCCTACTGCGAGCGATGCGACAACACGCGGAAACGGGTGCGCCGTTACTACGGATAACACATCCCGGAATGATAACGCGACAACTTCGAGTCAACCTCATAACGCCTTTGTGACAGGGTTATAGCGATGTCCGCTAGCCTTGTGTGCGGCACTCTCCTCGCGTGAACGCAGCGACCAAGTGTACGCTATATAGTGACTACATACTTGTGTCGTTGCAGGATCTGGAGAGAGGAGCGCGACGATGGGCGAGGTGTTGCCGTGAGTGCGAGTGAGAGCGAGAAGAGCGAGAGAGAGAGAGAGAGAGCGATTTTGACTGATTTTTGACGGCGAGAGAAGTGGAAGCGCGGCGGCGTGAGGCTTAGAAATTAAGAGAGAGGAAGGGGAGTTAGGCGCGAGCTCTCAAGTAATTAGGGCTGCCTAGGGAGAAGACTGGACGAGACGATATTTGGGCCGGAAGGGAACGACTGTCGGCGGTGCAACTGCCACGATTGTCAGGGAGCAAGTCGTTCGAGGGAGAGCCAGTACACGCAGCGACCATTCGCCGTCTACGAGGCAAAGGCCGTGCTACGGCCCTTCCTGCAGCAGCTTCCATCGTCGCCAGGGCGCCGTTTCCTGCGGGACTACGCTTTCGCCGGCGTCGCCTCTCTGTCGACGGACCATCGGCATCCGGTAAGTCCAAAGCCAGTTTATCTCTCTCGCGCCAGCTCTCGCTCGATTACGGGCATTATCGTATTTTGATTTTATCGCGCACGCTGAGCGATCTCGCTCGCGTGATCCCGCGAACTCTGGTCGCGGAAAGGTTGAGCGAGCACGCTCGCCGCGGCGAAGTTAATCTTGTAGTGATATTTGTGAAAAGGCGTCAATAAATGAGATCGCCATATGTAATATAATTGAATTAAAGTGTCCGATTCTTTGTATCAACCTCCCCCAACCAGAGCGAACTTCGGCCTCTGAAACTCAGCGCCGGCTTTCTTTACCGAGAAAGAACCCAGAAAAATTAGCAGAGACCAGCCCAAGGCGCACGGAGGCTGACCACTCTTGCACCTTTCCGATCCTTCCGATAAGATTCTGATAACTGCCCCTCCAACTAATGCAGCAAAGCGCCCACGAGGGAAACCTCGCAAGAACGCGTTAACCACCCAAACTACACCGTATCGACAGAATCCCCATATCTCCCCTCCCATCGTCGGGAAAAGGATGAGGGGTAGACCACCGAGAACACCGATCGTGGATGCATGAGGCCCTGCGAACGAAGGACCTGGGAGACCGACGCAAAGGACCCCACCTTTAACCCCGGCGACGAAGGCCCTGGGCCACCGAACAGGCGCCTACCTTCGATTCCCGTGGAAAGGGTTATCGTTACAGACGCGTGGGATTGTTACAGGATGAAGATCACCTTCGAGCAGATCGAAGAAGCGGCAGCAGCCCTCATTAGGCTGGACCTGGGTCCCGCCGTCGAGGGAGTCGAGCTCACGCGAGCTCGTCATCCGTGATTATCGAAGAGGTCACAGGCGAAGAGTCCCTGCGCCCCTCAACAGTGCATCGCGTCGTGCGCGAGGAGTCGACGCCACTACCCAGAGCACCAGCGGGAGCAATCCCCAGGAAAGCCCCACCAACTTCCACGGTCACACAGACGGAGGGAGCCTTCGCCGATGCGACCTAGCGCCCCAGATTCACTAGTCAGGCATCCCCGCCTGGCGAACGAACCTGCGAGGAAATAGTGGAGGGCTTGAGGGAGGTCGAACATGGATGGACCACCCTCAATGCTCTCCAATGAGCCGTGTACGCATCGTACTCCGCGTACACGGCTGCGGGACGCCGCCCCAGTGATATGGAGTACTGGAGCAAAGTGGTGTCCCGCCGGCGCCAGTTCGCACAGGCGCTGAAGGAGTTCCAGCGCCGTCACCGCCAGGCCCCCGAGGGCCTGTTCGGTGACGCGCCTGTTTGCCCCATCCGGCCTCCAGCTACCGGAGTCAGACTAGCGATTCCGGAGGCCAGGTTGGAGGCTGCGACGATATGCGGGGTAAGCCTCGTGGTAAATGTGGACGGTAGTAACGGGGGTCAAGCAACGGGACCCATCCATATAAATCTTGTGGTGAGGTCCACGGGTGAGGCTCCCACGGTTGAAAGGCCGCTGTGGTCCGCCCCGAACCTTGCGGGACGGGTTGCCGCTGACCCCCAGGGAGCGAGGCCTTCCTTGTGGCACCCTCTCCCGCGCACAGTGGGAAGGGTGCAACGTATGCCACTACCACGGGGTGACCCGCACGGATCGTTGTCTCCGTGTTCAACAGCACATCGACCTGGTCTAGGAGAGGCTGGGATGGGAGGCACGCGGGCGCCCCTCGTTGGACGCAGAAAGACGGGAGATATCCCAGTGACCAGCCAGGTTAAAGATCCCTGCCCCCGTGGGCAGGGCCACACCCACACCAAAGTCCAATAAAAACGAAATATCACAGAGAACATGACCTTTTGTTATCTTTTACCCTCTTAACCTCCAAAAGAATAGCGCTAATAATTCTATCGTCGAGGACCCCATTGGTCCAGACTGAAAGATGGCTGTGACGGTAAACGTCTTATTAGCGCTAAGATCCCAACCATGCGGCTGCCTGCGAGGGCAGCACCTACTGGTTGAGGCAAATGTAATGAGGGAATTCGGCACGCGAGGGGACGGAACGCGCGCGTATGAAAATGAACCTGTCGAAGATTAGAACCCGCACACTCAGCTGCAGCAGATATTAATTCGAGTTTTCCCGAGTTTTTCTTGGAGTGCTAAGCCGAGTCAACTAAATACATCGAGAGAAGCGGTGTCTGAGCCAGACCAGATCGAGTGTATGCTAGTGTGCGTGAGTGAAGGGTTTCGCCATCGAGGGCGAAACCAAAAACGCGAGATACCTCATGACAAAGACCGGTTTTCGCCAAAATTAGAGTGCGAACTTTCTCTCTCGTTCACCGTGCGACTGCTAATCAGGTAATCTGGCCAGCTTAATTTCGCGATTGCTATAATTGCTATTAACTAATCTTTCGTATTCCATAAGAAGCGTGCATGTATTAACTCGGCGAATAAAGAGCGGCGAGCGTTCCGACACTGCCTGTTATTGTCGTGCGCGCGCTTTGTAAACATAAACACGCGGGCCGAAAACAATGTAGAAATAAGAGGTAATAAACGATCTCGCATGTGATATTGACCGTAATTCTGATATTATTATTTCGTGTTAGCAGAAAGTTGGTTGACTGACACCCGTTCCCTCCTGCTCTCCGATTTTCGAATTTAAACGTTTAGGTAATCCTGCGCGCTCTTCGATACGATCGCGCGCATAATTCAATAAAAGGATATCAACCCCGTTTCAATCGATAGTATTTCTTTAACTGATTAGCCTGAATAGTATACATGAACTAATACAAATTAGAAAAATATGATTTGTTTTTACTATTACTAAAATAAATATTTATTCTCGATAATTTGATAATTGGTTTATGTATCGTTTAATATTGAAAATTAGGTCAGGCGCTATGCACCCACTGTCGAGAACATACACACCGAGCCAAGATGTTTTCATCTCATGATGTTGTACACATGAGTAAGTGCAATAAGGATACCCAGCGACGTTGCCCAAATCATGGAGAGCAGTATATAATGTTTAGTCAAAGCACTAAGCAGATGTTATGTGCGATATGCTTCCGTGAAACACCTTCAGATGCTAGACTTCACTGCATGGATATCGAAACCGCCTGGCAACTGGTTTCCAAAAAGATGGAACGTGCCATTACTTCTATTTGCGAACTACAGACAAACGTGCACGATGGACTTCTAGATCTTAAATCACAAGTAGATGATCTTAAATGTGGTCTGGAAGAGGAAAAACGTATCCTCAACGTTTACTATCAGGTATGTCGGACATGTAAGCTGCATTATTGATTATTTGTATATTTACAACTTTTATGTATTGTAAGTTTTTAAGAAAAACTAATATATATGTGTGGTTTCTTATTTGTTTGCTTAGAGTGTTCAAGAAACAATGAGTCAAACGTATTCAGTAATATTAGCTGAACTTCAACGAGAATTCGATACAAAGGATCGCATTATAAAAACAAACCTCCTTGCGTTAGGCAGTGCTTTGCCTGTACTCCAAATGCACGTTGGCTTGTGCACAGCTTTTACTAGTGCGGCTGGTAAACATCAATTTCTTGAACTTGCATACCCTATGCTAGAGCGTCTTAGTCGCGTTGCTCAACTTGGGCATATACCACGTTCATCTTTTATTACTAACAATTTTAAGGTTCACTACAAAAGTGAGTTTTTACGAGCACTTCAACCACTCATGAATATACCTGTACAACCTCAAACAGCAAAAGATGCTTTCTATGACCAACATTACCAACAACGTTATTTAGACATTCAATCCTTGCAGGTAAATATAATATATAAATTATGAATACAAAACTAGTGAATTTTGTTAAATGTTATTAATTATGAAAAATTATACCGATAATATATACTGCCCGTCAATCAATTTTGTCATAACAACACCAAAATCAGGCAAACTTAAAAGTTTTGTATCTCAATCGGAAATTATCATATAAAAAAAACCGAAACGCGATTTGAAGATTCTTGTAATAACTTTCATATAATACACACAAAAAGTTGAAAAATTCAAAACTACGTTTTTTTACGATAAAAAACAGATTAAAAGAATGTTCGATTGTTTTTTACCTCGATTCAAATCAATGTCAGTTTAGAACTAGTAATAGGCCAAATATACCAACAGAGATCAAAAGCTAGTACCTTCCCATTTACGAAGACCATCCGCAGATTTTCATGTGACCATTTTTACTGGAATAACAGTCATTTTTGTAAAAAACAATCTTTTCTTAAATCTATCATTACCTCTAGTTCTATTGGTTTTAGAAAAAAATGTCATTAGAAAAAAAATTTTTTTTTATGCCTCAAAATATGGAAATGGAGTCAAACTAAAGAAATAGAATAAATTCTTTTTTACTCGATTACTCTACTTTTATCTCTCTCTGTAAATTTGCTGCATGCATTGTTTGGTTATATGATTATTTATTTCTAAATTACACAGGCTAACAAAAAAAAAGATGACTGTACTTTTAACCAAACATACTTTTTCTTATGTATTTTTCGACACTGAATCCGAATTGCAATAAAAAAATAGCCTTTCCTCTCATATTTTGAAATTTATGACGAAAAACCTCATTTTTTGAGATGTTTTGAGGGTTTTTCGAAATTAAAAATTAAAAAGAGTGAAAATAAAATTATTTTGACTAAAGAATTGAAATCTACGGGAAAAAATACATTGAAAACTGTTTTGAATATATTTTTGACTATTTTTCAACCTCTGATATTGAATTGAAATTACTAAAAAACCGGAAAAAGCCGAAATTCGTGCTAAATTTGAGTAAAAATCGATTGAAATTTGATTCTGTCACTTCAAAACAATGAGTAAGCATTATAAATGGTATATTGGGGGTTTTCGAGGTTGATGATCATAAATTTGACGTCAGATTTTTTAAAAGATCACTTTCAGGAGACGTTAACTAGTAAGATATGGGATAAATTTAATGATTTTCTTGAAAATCTTTGTTTTAAACCTATTTTAACGGTTTTTCATTATGTGATATATGAAAACAAGACTAACTTGGAATGTTAGGTGTAAATTAGGCTTGAAATTGATCATCAGTTACAGAGACCGAGTGCGGTAATTTTAGTTATTTTTAAGACATTGTGTTACTAATGTAACGGTGAATCACAGTCGTCCTTCTGCAGGTGGCTCGCGACTGCCCGTACAAATTATTTATTGAGTAATCGGGAAGCAAGAGTCGTTCCCACGACTGAATAACGCGCCGAGCGCACGCGTTAATCGTACATGGATTGTCTAACACGGGATCAGGAGTGATTTCGGGTATAGTGATTGTTTTGTTTTGAAGTTTCCCCTAAAATGCCGCAGTTGGCATTCCAGCAATATTTTATCAGAAGTTTAAATATAGTTTGAGTTAAAATAGAATCGCTTGTGAATTGACCTTTACGTTTCCCTTTTTTTATTTAAGAGTTTGACACTGGTATAATAAAAAACACGTTATGGGAAAAAAGCCTTTCGGCATAAAACAACCCAATTTATTGAAACTTGACAAATTGAATAAAAGTGAGAAGATTGAAAACAATAAATTTCGACGCAGCACAAAGTGAGACACGCACAAGTTGTCGAAAATAATTTTCGCATAAGAAATGATCACGTGATCACGCGAACTTTACGCGCGCACGCACGCGGAGGAATTTCCACACACACACACACACACACACACACACACAGACACATACACACACACACACACACACACACACACACACACACTTGATTGATGATATCGGAGAGTTTCGGATAGTAGGTAGTAAAAGATAGACGAAATGATATTAGCTTGATATCGATGATATCATACAAATAGGTAGTAATAGATAAGTAAGATGAAATTAGCTTGATATCGATGATATCATACAAATAGATAGTAATAGAAAAGTAAGATGAAATTAACGTGATATCGATGATATCATACAAATGGATTATAGTAAGTAAGATCGTAGATAACTATATGTAATCACCGCGTTACAAGGGCCACTAATTCGTTGTTGTCATAGGTTGAATACGGTAAAATATTTGCGCAATACGTTGTTTTGCGTCTTTGGTATTGTTTTTTGTTGTCAATTTTACTTGTAACGATTGTAATGATATGTTATCAGGTTATATTGATTTTCACGGATAATCGCATGTAAAATTCGCGATAGCTCTGCGCACACAATGGCCGCTTGAGCTGTACTGGCAACGGCCGTAAATGTCAAACCGGCGCGAACTTGCAGAGAAACGGCGGCAGCCCGCTCAGTTGGTGGCGCCATCTCCCGCGGTTCTCTCCCAAGTTCGGCCATCGCGCACATACATACATACACACATGTGACGACGGAACAGAGATTATAGACAAATTTTAAATAACAATAATTAAAATTACAACAACGAAAGAAACAAAGTAACTGAATTTATCCACGAATAAAATAATCGAATTTGCCAAAATAAATGAAATACAAAATAATAAGAGAACAAAATAATACCGCCATTACAATCAAATGCAAATAAAAGCACGCCGCGGATCGGCTACAGGGTTGCTCACCGAACCGTTGTTTACCCGATCAAGGAGAAAATATGTAGAGAAGAACACATCAGCATACAAACTAAGAAAAAAAAAACAAATCGCTCGAGCAAATTCTATGCGTAACCTTGCAGCCGGCAGAGCTGCCGAGCCGCGTATTATTTACTCGACGCCTCGGACAGAAATAGAGAGAGAAAGAGAGAAAACACCGCACCGACCTTGCCGCACGTTGATTCCGTGTATCACTCTGTTCGTTCTTGTCTTCGTTGAGGAGAAAATTCTGTAGCAAACAAAGAGATTCCTTTACAATCGCTCTCGTACTCTTGAATCTTGGTTGATTGGGACTCGGCGATGTTGTTGATTTTGTTACTGTTGTTTCCGTTGTTAGCGCTGTTAGTATTACTGTTGTTGCTTTGGTTGTTTGTGTTGTTATGTTGTTGTAGTGTCATAGTTGTAGCCTCTGAGTATGTGTGTGTATGTGAACTGGAGATCGTCGAACGTGTGTGTGTGTAGACCGCATCGAATCTCGTCCCCCGAGATGAATTGGCGAGAAGATCGCACTCACCGTGGCACACAAAAATGGCCGCACGCGCGCACACGCCCGTGTCATCTCACCAGTCGCCCACGTGCACGCATGCCGGCCTCGCTACACTCGCGGAAAACACAAAAATAAACTGTCACTCCGCGCACAGGGCATGTATCCTGGAAAAGTCTTCGGCGAGGGCGCGGGAACTCAGAAGACACAAAATGCAGGCGAAAACGATGAAAAGGTGTGCGCGCGGCGGTCCGTTCGGCTACCAAACAGCTACTGCCGATTTCTCCTCTCTTCGCCAGCGAAATGCGCGCGCAGGTCAGCCGACGACTCGCTGGCTCTCTCCTATCTTCCGTCTCTCTCTCTCTCTCACTGCGCTCTTCTCGTCGGCTCCCTCCAGTCACCGCCGCTGCCGTCGCACCTCGAGAAAGGGAGCAAGAAAGACAGAACGATTAGAGTATGCTCAGCTAGCGCACACTCTCAGCTCGGCAAGGCGCACGGGGATCAGTGAGAGCCTGACGGAGAGCAACGGCCGAGCCGTGATTCTCCGTTACACTAAATTGATTTTCGCTTACGCACACATTTTTCATCGAATGATCGGTGTAAACAGTTTCTGGCAAATTTTTGTTCCCTAGTCAAAGTTGTCTATTTTTTTATCATCCAACAGTAATCTGCCAACATATTTATACCCTATAAAATCTACGCTGAAGCTGTAATTATTAACAATTCTTTTAAATTTTGGTAAAACCTTTCACCTTGCTCGTCATCAAAATCACCGTTATTTTTAGAAAATTGATCAATACGAGATTCAAGAAAAGAAAGTTTAACTTCGTAAGGTAGTTTAATTTCTGGTAATAGCATATCATTCTTTTGACAATATTTATGCAATCTATATCTTTTGTGTTACCCACAAATTTTAAGCTTGACCATGCTGCTTTCTGGGATTCATTCATAGTTGTGTCAAAGTTTTCATCTCGAAATAAAGTACGGATTTAAAGATCTTCTAAGATACCTTCTTTTAATTTAGCATCTGATTTCTCATAAAACATTTTTTCTAAGTATTTAAAATTTTGGCCATTTTTGTTGAATGCCTTCACTAATTGTTTCATCAATCCAAACTTTATATGTAGAGGAATGATTAAAATTTTAGATGGATTCACGAGAGGTTTTTCAAGAATATTCTGTTTTCCAAGTTTAAATGACCTTCGTGTTGGCGAATTCTATTTTTTGTAGTGATTTGTGTGTGTGCACGCGCATATGTGTGTGTGTTGTATTTCTATTATCGAACATACACATATATCATAGATATTTTGTGAATTTTTTACTGTAGAATTTAATTCTGTAGTCGAAAAAATCTTATTTCTACTCTTTTTAATATTTAATTTCGAAAAACCCCCAAAAACCTCAAAAAATAAGGTTGTTCGTTCATAAACCTCAAAATGTGAAGGGAAAGGTTATTTTTTATTGCAGATTCGGATTCAGCCTCGAAAAATACATAAAGAAAAGTACGTTTGACCAAATGTATAGACTTTTTTTTTTGTGGGCCTGTGTTATTTATTTATTGATCGATATTTTTTGTTAAACAAATTTAAAAAAATGTTAAAAATAAAAGTCTTAATTACGTTACTATTTTTTGTGTTTTACTGCAGCTCTCGACATTTTAAAACCAAATATTGAAGAAAATAGATAAATTGTTATTTTTAATATGCTACAAATACGAAAAAATAATTGTTTCCATTTATTTATTTTGAATTTATTTTCTTGTGTTAGGGTATGAAACATAACTTTTTTCTCTATGTAATTTTTTCGTAAAATCAATAGAACTTGAGGTAATGATAGATTTAAAAAAAACCACGTCTTTTACAAAAATGTCCGTATCTCCGGTAAAAAAGGTCACACGAAAATTCGCGGCTGATCTTGGTAAAGAGGAAGTTACTAGCTTTTGATTTCTGTTGGTATATTTGTCCTCCTATTTCTAATTTTAAACTGACATTGATTTGAATCCAGGCGAAACATACTCGTATTTTTAAATCTGTTTTTTATCGTAAAAAAACACAGTTTTTAATTTTTTGAATTTTTTCACGTATTATATGGAAATTATTACAACAATCTTTAAAACACACTTCGGCATTTTTAATACAATAATTTTCGATTGAGATACAAAACTTTTAAGTTTGCCTGACTGTAGTGTAGGAATGGCAAAAGTCATTGATTGGTACTGTATTTAAGTAATGTAAATGAAAAAATTGAATGATCAAATGAATTAACACACGCAAAAATTTATATAATTAAATTTGCAGCATAATAAAACTAATCAAAGAGCTCCAACACAAATTAAAGGACTTTTGGAGTCAGGTCGTTTCAATAGCCATTGTCGCACATTTGATAATCAACTTCAAGAATTGAACAACCAATTGAAAACAGTAAAAGAACGTCTTGGTGAACTCCATAAAGATGTAGCATTGTTACGCCGAGTTAATACGCCGCCTTTGATAATACGTTATGAGAATATCACTAGAGACTTCAGACTTTTGGAACAGCAACTTGAACACCAACAGAAAGAGATGGAACGACTTAAAGCGGTGTTTGATGCTCTTTGGGAAGAGCAACTTTGTCGAATACATTTAGAAAAAGAAGTTTTTCATTCTCAGGTAGGATTATATATGTAATAAACATCTAAAATTTCAAAAATTATTCAAGAATTTTACATCAACTTCTTAACTTACAAATTATTATTTTATCGATCGAACTGAATACAATTTAATTATGAGTTAGTAAATAAAATAAATGAATCCATAGAACTTCTATTAAGACAAAGTTATATCAATTTGTTATACTGTGGGCAAAAAGTAAGGTGAATTTGTTTGTAAAATGAAAAATCTTTATTTATTCTTCTACATCAATGTCATCCCCTTCGAAGTAATCCCCTCCCGATAAAATACACTAATGCCAACATTTTTTCCAATCCTCGAAACATGCCAAATAGTCCCTTTCCGGTATAGCCATCAGCGCCTTCTTCGATTCAGCTCTTATCTCCTCAATCGACTCGAAACGCGTTCCCCGGAGTGGTCTCTTGAGTTTTGGGAATAGCCAGAAGTCACACGGAGCCAAATCAGGCGAATACGGTGGTTGCGGAACGATATGCGTCGAATTTTTGGCGAAATGGTCACGAAGAACGAGTGCAGTGTGAGATGGTGCATTATCGTGATGCAAAAACCAAGAGTTGTTGGCCCATAATTCTGGTCTTTTTAGATGAATTGCTTCACACAAACGACGCATAACGCTCAAATAATATTCCTTATTAACAGTTTGGCCGGGTGGAAGGAATTCATAGTGCACCACACCACGAAAATCGAAGAAAACTGTCATCATGACCTTGATTTTTGAACGACTTTGGCGTGCTCTTTTCGGTCTGGCCTCGCCTTTAGCACGATATTCGCTTGATTGGTCGGTTGTTTCAGGGTCGTAAGCATAAATCCAAGTCTCATCTCCCGTAATCATGCATTTGAGCTTGTCCTGATAGTCAGAAAGCATTGTTTCACACACATCAACGCGGCGACTTTTTTGCAAGAAATTGAGCGTTTTCGGTACCAAACGAGATTTGACTTTTTGTAGGCCCAAATGGTCTTTCAAAATTGTTTTCACAGATCCTTCTGATATTCCGATCATATCAGTAAGGTCTCTAACAGTCAACCGACGATTTTCGAGCACTAATTCCTTCACTTTATTGACGTGTTGGTCATCTGTTGACGTCGATGGTCGTCCGGAGCGCTCCAAGTCATCAACACGTTCTCGACCCTCTTTGTACCACTTATAAACATTTTTCTGCGACATGGTAGAATCACCAAAGGCCTTCCGCAACATCCTCAACGTTTCCGCAGCCGAAATTTCATTCCGCAAACAAAATTTGATGGCACTTCTTTGCTCAATTAAATCAGACATTGTAAAAATCGAAACATGCACTCTTGGTCGTTTGGTAAACACAAGCGTAAATATATTACTGATGATGACATTGACATGAAATTTGTCCCAGATGTCATTCGCAGTCCTACCAACTCAAGAAAAAAAGAACTAGCCCGAAATGTTAAGCCCGCGAAGTTTAAATTGAAAATTCACCTTACTTTTTGCCCACAGTAGTAACTTTGGAGTAAGTATACTATGGATTGCTGAAATCATAAATAAGTTCTGTGTTCAATAAACAATTTAATTTAAAATGTTCAAAAATTTTGTGTAACTTTCTACAACAAAAGAGCTTTGAAATTATTTTGTAGTGCAACGGTAGTCGATTTAAGTAATCGAACCGTTCGCGATTCTGCTTCTCACGCGTTAGTTCGAACTATTGAGAGAGAGAGGGGGAGCGCGATATTTTGAATAAGCAAAAGATCGCTGTTCACGTGACAGCTCAGCTGTTCACGAGAGTTTACCGCCGTTTTGTGTTTTGTACTTTTTTCGCAAAAAGTAAAGTTTTCTTTGGGTCAATTACGTGCGTGAGTGCAACGGCATTTTCGTGACAGATAATAGCAGCAGTACAGAAGCAGCAACAAAGATATATTGAGGCAGATCGAGGCTGCGCAGTTGATAATAGAGGGGCAGCGTCAGTTGAAATTTTTACAACAACAATTACGGCTGATCACCGTAATTGCACCGCATGGTAGGTGCACCTCCCATCATATTAAGCGATACAAAATACTTTCGATATTTTGTATATTCGTGATATGGTTATTTTTGTATTTGCGCCGAGCATTAGTTCGCGGTAATATTCGAATCTTCTCTCTCTCTCTCTTTCTCACGGAAAATAGTTAATTGTAAAATCCTATTCGCGAGCGTTAGTCTTTCGGTCCTACAAAGACTGTAGTGATTTTTGTTAATTAAAGTTTATTAAATTTATTCGCCGTTTGCTTCATTTGATTTTCCTAGTAGCTTAAATAATTGGAAAAGGCTTAGGTTTTAATCTGATTAACTCTAGGGGATTAAGAAGATTAGGAGTAAAGTCACTCACACTTAAAACTCGTCGAGTGTCACATGACACGTGACTTAAGGTGAGTTCAACTCTGTTTGATAGAAGACAACTAGGATAAATCATCTGACGTTAAGACGAATACACGTACTATCATACGTGCTTAACGGAGCGGCGGTTTGCTCTGCATCGTGGGAATTTGTTCTTAAATAAATTTCTCATTTTTCAGATTTATCTCCCCCGTTACGGTAGAAATATTAGTTTCCTTATTTTTAGATTCAGCAAGATCTAAAATATATTTCATTTCAAAGTCAAAACTGAGAGTAGATCTATATAGAAATAATAATATTAATGATTAATAGACTTTATTGATATTAAAGAAATATTGAAGTTTTTAATATTAAATATAACTGTTTATCGTGAATACTGATGATAGAATAACTGATTAATAAGTGATAAAATAAAGATTGATAGCTTATTGCTAGGGACACACTTTTGCTATAAACGTTCGGTTAGCAAATTGCACTGCCATATTATTCCTTTTGGCAGAAAATTCGGCAATAAATTTACAATGTTTTTGAATCGTACTTTTCTGCCAGAACGTGTCGTGTGTTTGGGAACTGACGTAGGCACTGATAGCATAGGTTCAGCAATAGGCGTAGAAACAAAACCTTACGTAAGAACAGGAATTTCTTGAGAAGTAAGAATTGGTGTCTGAATTTCTTTAAACATAAATCACACGATTAATAGAAACTTTCATTGGTTTCCCATGAATTTTTAGTATGACTGGCTTTTAGCTTCGTTCCAGTATTTCGTGTGGGCCAGTGTATGGTACTTGTAGTACTTTGAGAATTGGTTCCTATTTCAAAAATACATGCGTGCAGTTTGACAATTCCTTAAAAACAAAAACTCCAGATTAGCAATGTCTTCAGGCTGGAGCTTGTTGTAAACATAACATGAACTTTCGAAAGCTCGAAAAAAAGCTCTTTAAATCATCGAGGCTTGAATCCACTCGATGTCGAAATAAGCCATGATAGCTAGTTTTAGTTGATGATGTTGTGACAGGTCCTCTCTCTCTCTCTCTCTTAAGCGTTTTACCGGTTAAATTAATTACGACAATACTCGGTAACCAGGCGTTTACTCGCCGGCTACCGAGATCTTCTGTACAAGCAGCGGCTCTTTTAAACGAGGGTTGTTAAAGCGATTCTGTTACTAGGCAATCCGCGACTTGTTTGTCGTCGGTAGTAGCAATAAAGTCCGCGCGTTCTCGGTATTATTTATTAGTGACATAGATATGCGAATTAATGTGTATTAATTGTTTGTATTAGTATTAAGTCTTCCGAGTTAATTTGCTTGTGAGGTTCTTGGTATTAATAAGTTTGTGTTCAATTTCGAAAGTTTATGTGCGAAATCGTCTTTCCTCCTCCCCCTTTTGATCCTTGAGAGCGAAAGCGCTTCTCTTATCTCCCTTTAAAGAATTGGTGGCAAAGCACGTAGGTGACGCGGCAACTTTGTTACATGGTATCCCTTATAGAGAAACAACGATTAAAGAAGAAGAATGTTCGGATAGATTGAGTATTGTTAATTACGAGTATTAATGCGTAGATGTTAATATTCCACATTACTAATAAACAAACGAATGTTATTTCTTTCATTATTATTATTATTCCATTGTTATTCTAATTATTCAAAATTTAATATTTGACCACTCGTGTTTGAAAAAATTAAAATAATATTATAATAATAATTAAATTATTCACTTTTTTCCAACATTTTTAGTATAGCGACAGTCATCGAGTACTGAAAATTAGAAAATTTGCTTAAAACTTTCGCATTATCTACTCATTAGATACTAATTTTTATTTATAAGAGTAGTATTTTTACCCTCTTCAATTATTTATTATTAATAATCCAGAAATTGAAAGATTCTTTTTTCTGTTTTCTTTCAAAACATAAAAATTTGCTCAAAACTAAACTATTTTTCCACTGCAAAAATTCATGTCAATTTTTAAATTGTTTACCTTTTAAAAATAGGGGTTGCAACACGGAAAAGTCAATGTGATCAGAATTTGTTATACTTTCGATAAGGAATATTACTCACTTAGTTTTACTAAAAAATATTGATTAGGAAAAAAGCTATTTAAAAAAACTTGTTTTTGGGGGTGAACTTTAAGGGTAGATTTCACCCTTTAAATGTGTTTTTAAAATATTTTTATTATAATAATATTTATAAAGCAGTAAAAATTAAAAAATTCGCTTTTAAATAATTTTAATATCGAAAGTTCTAATTTTCATTAATAGGGGTGGCTTTAACCTTGAAACGGGGTAAATGATACCCGTGTATTTATTTATGCGCGCGATCGCATCGAAGAGCGCGCGGGATTATCTGAACGTTCAAATTCGTAAACCGGAGAGAAGGAGGGAACGGGCGTCAGTCAACCTCTTATTATATATATTACCTCTTATTTCTACAATGTTTTCGGCCCGCGTGTTTATGTTTACAAAGCGCGCGCGCGACAATAACATGCAGTGTCGGATCGGTCGCCGCACTTTGTTCGCCGAGTTAATACATGCACGTTTCTTATGGAATACGAAAGATCAGTTAATAGCAATTATAGCAATCGCGAAATTAAGCTGGCCAGCATACCTTATTAGCAGCCGCACGGAGAACGAGAGAAAAAGTTCGTGATTAAG